GATGCCGCAATTTGTGTTAAATTTCATTTGGAACGTGAAAAGAATCCGCATAAATTTAATAGTCGCATGAAAAATAAACTTTGGTATTTTGAATATGCAACATCGGAAACATTTGCCGCATCTTGCAAAAATCTACACGAACATATTGAAATTGTTGTAAGTATGAAAACGTGTCGAAGCATTTTTTTTTACACAAAATATAAATTCAAATTTTCAACAAAATATGTATGAACGTTTCAATACACAGATAAACACACACTTAAGCGCTAAAAAAAAAACAGAGATATATTTTAGAAATATTATGAAATTTATTAGGGAAGTGCCAAAAATTCGAAATTAAAGTTGGTTTTATTTCTAGTTTTATTTTGTTACAAATCTTTTAGTGTCTGCTTAAATAAAATTCTGCTACATTTTTCTGGTTTCTCTTAAAAGTGGAGCCATCCTATTAAGCCTTAATGTAAATTGAATTATATAGCCATGAGTGTTGAGTTCGTTATTGGAATCTGTTTATGCCTGATTTTGCATAATTATTAAATTTTTACTAATTTAACAAATTTGCCCCACATTACAAAGTTGTTAGTGTGTTCGTGTCTAGTTAATATCATAATAATTTGTATATGTATTTAACAATTAATTTATTTTTTATAGTGTGATGGCGTTTCCTTAGATTTAGCCAATGGACCACATTTACAAGGTGTGGCTCTACTCAACATTCCTTATACCCATGGTGGTTCAAACTTATGGGGTGAGCATTTATCACAGAAACGTATACGCAAAAGTGCGGGTCCCTTTCGCAAGGGCAAAAAGTTAAAATCCTCTGATAAGGAACTATCAGCTACTAGTTTTAATTCGGTAGATTTATCGGTCGCTACACAAGGTAAGTTTGATTTGATTTTTAGAAAAATGAGGTTTAATTTTTGTTTTGTTGTATTTCCAGATTTTGGCGATCGTTTAATTGAAGTTATAGGCCTTGAAAATTGTTTACACATGGGTCAGGTGCGTACGGGTTTGCGTGCCTCGGGACGTCGTTTGGCTCAGTGCAGTGAAGTGATTATTAAAACTCGCAAAACATTTCCCATGCAAATCGATGGTGAACCTTGGATGCAACAACCATGTACGGTAAGTTATAGGAAATGGTATCCAAATTGTATTTTGTATCTAAGGATCTGTCTGTTTATCTAAGGATCTGTCTATTGAGTAGTCCATTGACTAATCTTTTGACTAGTCTATTGACAAATCTATTGATAAATATATTGACTAGTCTATTGGCTAGTCAATAGAATAATCAATAGATTAGTCTAGAGACTAGTGTCCATTAACTAGTCCATTTACTAGTCTATTGATTAGTCCATTGACTAGTCCATTAGCTAGTCTATTGTCTAATCTATTGATTAGTCTATTGGCTATTTTACTGAATAGCCTAATGACTAATCTATTGACCTGTTTATTGACTAGTCTACTGACTTGTTTATTGACTAGTTTATTGACCAGATTAGTCCATTGAATAGTCTATTGACTAGTCCATTCACTAGTCTATTGACAAATCTAATGACTAGTCCATTGACTAGTCTACTGGCCAGTCTATTGAATAATCTATAGATTAATCTATTGACTAGTCCATTGACTAATCTATTGATTAGCCTATTAACTAGTTATTGTATAGTCTATTCATTAGTCTGTTGGCTATTTTAATGACTAGCCTATTTGCTAATCTATTGACTAATCTATTGATTAGTCTATTGACTAGTTATTGTATAGTCTATTCATTAGTCTATTGGCTAGCCTATTGACTGTTTTAATGACTAGCCTATTTGCTATTCTATTGATTAATCTATTGATTAGTCTAATAGACAAATCTGTTGACTAGTCCATTGACTAGTCTACTGGCCAGTCTATTGAATAATCTATAGATTAGTCTATTGACTAGTCCATTGACTAATCTATTGATTAGTCTATTAACTAGTTATTGTATAGTCTATTCATTAGTCTATTGGCTAGCCTATTGACTATTTTAATGACTAGCCTATTTGCTAATCTATTGACTAATCTATTGATAAGTCTATTGACTTGAATAGTCTATTGACTTGTGCATTGACTATTCTATTGATTAGTCCACTGACTAGTCTATTGACTAGTTATTGTATTGTCCATTAACTAGTCCATTGATTAAACTATTGACTAGCCCATTGACTAATTTAATAACTTTGTCTTTTGGTTAATCTATTGTCTAATCCATTGATTAGTCTATTGACTAGTTTATTGAATAGTCTATTGACTTGTCCGTTGATTATACTATTGATTAATCTATTGACTAATTTATTGACTAGTCTATTGACTGTGGGTTAATCTATTGGCTAGTCTATAGACTAACTTATTGACTAGTTTATTGACTGTCTATTGGCTAGTCTATAGACTAATATATTGATTAGACTATTAACTAAGACTATTAACAAGTTTATTGAAGAGTCTTACATGGACTAATGTACTAGTTAGTTGATGGAAGTGGTCTTTCGGCTAGTATATTGTTTATGGCCTGGTCTATTGACCAGACTAGTCTATTGACTCCAATTACTAGTCTATGATTGTATACTCCATGGACTTGCCTATTGCTAATTATATGGACTAGTTTCTGAACTAGAATATTATATGGATTTCTCAAATGACTATAATGATTAGGCGATAGATTAGTTTATTGACTTCTCTATCAACTAGTGTATGGGCTAGACTACAGACTAATCTATTGGCCAGTTTATGGAATAGTCCATGTGCTAACTATGTTAACAAGCTTCTCCAGACATTTCCATAGAAAGGAAGAATAAAATATTTGTATTTCTTACAGATCAAAGTCACACATAAAAATCAAGTTCCTATGTTAATGGCACCACGCTCCGAAAAGGGTAAAGGTTTCTTTAACATGCTGTGCAGTTGATTTAGGCGCAGCGTTTCAACAAGTTCCATACTGCGGCGAGAACATTTTACTACAACAATTACTACACCAACACATTATACAGAAACCACCGTCCAAAATAAAGAATAAATTTAATAGCTTTATAAAATAAAATATTTATTAATAAAAAATAACACATTAAATTATTTAAAATAATTAATTTATTTTAATAGAATTTAAGTTTAAATTATTTATAATAATTTATGTTTATTTTAGACATTTTTTTTTTTTGTATTTAGGCTTTAGTTTAGCATTAATAGCAAAAATATTTAGAACAATTTAAGCAAAAAAAAATTAAACAATTACAATTTATTGAAATTATTTAAACTAGTCGTTGATATTAAATTTAAGATATTTTATTTATTTATTTAATTTATAATAATACTAATTATTACAACTATGTACTAATTATTTAGTTTTAGTAAATGAAACAAAATTCCAAAGAATATTTAAAAATAACTAAGGCATTTTAGCATAGAATTTATTAAAAAAATAACAAAAAATTTTAAATTATTATAATATTAACATAGTTTTAAGAAAGGATACTTCAATTAACAAAATTAGTATAAATATTAAAAAAAAAAACAACTTAAACAAATTTTGCAAATTTATATTAAAATTTATCAGAATTTGTTTTAAAATAACTAGTTCTAGAACTTCAGAGTCTTATAAAACAGACTAGCACCTAATGAGGAGGACATAATATCTATTACTCACACTCTGGAACAGTTTTTAAGATTCTGAAGGAGAAGCTTTACAACAAACTAGTGTGCAATTAGCTCTAGAACTAGTTGTGATTCAAATAGAGTAACATTTTTAAGTATCCTTTTAGGCATTTTTATTTTCTTAGCTTTTCTTTTAGTTTAAAAACTAAACTTTATACAATGTGTCCAAAAAAACAAAAACAAAAACAAATTGTAACCCAAAGGAGACCAAAAACAAAAGAATGTAAAACAAACATGAAATTTATTTTTAACACTTTTTATGTAAATTACCTAGATTTATATAGAGAAAAGAATAGAAAAACTGTAAACATTATAAGGCAAAGCTAAAGTTAACATATTTAAAAATATTTATACAATACATATACACAACAATAAATATACATACATATACAAAATAATTTAAACAGTTATGTATTTTAAAACAATTGTATGCGGAAAAAAGTATTACTTTATCTGCCGCGCAAAAAATACAATACTCCGTCAAAATTATCAAAAAAAAAATTAAACAAAATTCGAATAAAAATAAAAACAAAAATTCAAAAACTCAACATTGAGCACCTTAAACTTTAGAATTTTCTATTATAAATAACATTTAGTAAATATTTCCCGAGCAACGAAATATTTTATTTCATTAAAACCCACACAAATTCCAAGAAAATGTAATGGCCAACAAATTTTTAACCCTGCGGCCAAATTATACTTTTCTAAAGTATTGAGTATCGATAAATCCTAATCTGGCATCAGAATTTTTCTATCACATCAAGTGTCTAGTCTAGTCTATAGTCTAGACTATAGAATAGACTAGACTAGACTAGACTAGACTAGACTATAGACTAGACTAGACTATAGACTAGACTATAGACTAGACTATAGACTAGACTATAGACTAGACTATAGACTAGACTATAGACTAGACTATAGACTAGACTATAGACTAGACTATAGACTAGACTATAGACTAGATAGACTAGACTATAGACTAGACTATAGACTAGACTATAGACTAGACTATAGACTAGACTATAGACTAGACTATAGACTAGACTATAGACTAGACTATAGACTAGACTATAGACTAGACTATAGACTAGACTATAGACTAGACTATAGACGAGACTAACTATAACTAGACTATAGACTAGACTATAGACTAGACTATAGACTAACTATAGACTAGACTATAGACTAGACATAGACTATAGACTAGACTATAGACTAGACTATAGACTAGACATAGACTAGACTAACTATAGACTAGACTATAGACTAGACCTATAGACTAGACTATAGACTAGACTATAGACTAGACTATAGACTAGACTATAGACTAGACTATAGACTAGACTATAGACTAGACTATAGACTAGACTATAGACTGACTATAGACTAGACTATGACTAGACTATAGACTAGACTATAGACTAGACTATAGACTAGACTATAGACTAGACTATAGACTAGACTATAGACTAGACTATAGACTAGACTATAGACTAGACTATAGACTAGACTATAGACTAGACTATAGACTAGACTATAGACTAGACTATAGACTAGACTATAGACTAGACTATAGACTAGACTATAGACTAGACTATAGACTAGAACTATAGACTAGACTATAGACTAGACTATAGACTAGACTATAGACTAGACTATAGACTAGACTATAGACTAGACTAGTAGAACTAGACTATAGACTAGACTATAGACTAGACTAGACTATAGACTAGACTAGACTAGACTATAGACTAGACCTATAGACTAGACTATAGACTAAGACTATAGACTAGACTATAGACTAGACTATAGACTAGACTATAGACTAGACTATAGACTAGACTATAGACTAGACTATAGACTAGACTATAGACTAGACTAGACTAGACTATAGACTAGACTATAGACTAGACTATAGACTAGACTATAGACTAGACTATAGACTAGACTATAGACTAGACTATAGACTAGACTATAGACTAGACTATAGACTAGACTATAGACTAGACTATAGACTAGACTATAGACTAGACTATAGACTAGACTATAGACTAGACTATAGACTAGACTATAGACTAGACTAGACTAGACTATAGACTAGACTAGACTATAGACTAGACTATAGACTAGACTATAGACTAGACTATAGACTAGACTATAGACTAGACTATAGACTAGACTATAGACTAGACTATAGACTAGACTATAGACTAGACTATAGACTAGACTATAGACTAGACTATAGACTAGACTATAGACTAGACTATAGACTAGACTATAGACTAGACTATAGACTAGACTATAGACTAGACTATAGACTAGACTATAGACTAGACTATAGACTAGACTATAGACTAGACTATAGACTAGACTATAGACTAGACTATAGACTAGACTATAGACTAGACTATAGACTAGACTAGACTATAGACTAGACTAGACTAGACTATAGACTAGACTTATAGACTAGACTATAGACTAGACTATAGACTAGACTATAGACTAGACTATAGACTAGACTATAGACTAGACTATAGACTAGACTATAGACTAGACTATAGACTAGACTATAGACTAGACTATAGACTGGACTACAGACTAGACTATAGACTAGACTATAGACTAGACTATAGACTAGACTATAGACTAGACTATAGACTAGATTATAGACTATACTATAGACTAGATTATAGACTTACTATAGACTAGACTATAGACTAGACTATAGACTAGACTATAGACTAGACTATAGACTAGACTATAGACTAGACTATAGACTAGACTATAGACTAGACTATAGACTAGACTATAGACTAGACTATAGACTAGACTATAGACTAGACTATAGACTAGACTATAGACTAGACTATAGACTAGACTATAGACTAGACTATAGACTAGACTATAGACTAGACTATAGACTAGACTATAGACTAGACTATAGACTAGACTATAGACTAGACTATAGACTAGACTATAGACTAGACTATAGACTAGACTATAGACTAGACTATAGACTAGACTATAGACTAGACTATAGACTAGACTATAGACTAGACTATAGACTAGACTATAGACTAGACTATAGACTAGACTATAGACTAGACTATAGACTAGACTATAGACTAGACTATAGACTAGACTAGACTAGCTAGACTAGACTAGACTAGACTAGACTAGACTATAGACTAGACTATAGACTAGACTATAGACTAGACTATAGACTAGACTATAGACTAGACTATAGACTAGACTATAGACTAGACTATAGACTAGACTATAGACTAGACTATAGACTAGACTATAGACTAGACTATAGACTAGACTATAGACTAGACATAGACTAGACTAGACTAGACTATAGACTAGACTATAGACTAGACTATAGACTAGACTATAGACTAGACTATAGACTAGACTATAGACTAGACTATAGACTAGACTATAGACTAGACTATAGACTAGACTATAGACTAGACTATAGACTAGACTATAGACTAGACTATAGACTAGACTATAGACTAGACTATAGACTAGACTATAGACTAGACTATACTAGACTATAGACTAGACTATAGACTAGAATAGACTAGACTATAGACTAGACTATAGACTAGACTATAGACTGACTACAGACTAGACTATAGACTAGACTATAGACTAGTCACTATAGACTAGACTATAGACTAGACTATCTAGACTATAGACTAGACTAAGACTAGACTATAGACTAGACTATAGTAGACTATAGACTAGACTATAGACTAGACTATAGACTAGACTATAGACTAGACTATAGACTAGACTATAGACTAGACTATAGACTAGACTATAGACTAGTCTATAGACTAGACTATAGACTAGACTATAGACTAGACTATAGACTAGACTATAGACTAGACTCTAGACTAGACTATAGACTAGACTATAGACTAGACTATAGACTAGACTATAGACTAGACTATAGACTAGACTATAGACTAGACTCTAGACTAGACTATAGACTAGACTATAGACTAGACTATAGACTAGACTATAGACTAGACTATAGACTAGACTATAGACTAGACTATAGACTAGACTATAGACTAGACTATAGACTAGACTATAGACTAGACTATAGACTAGACTATAGACTAGACTATAGACTAGACTATAGACTAGACTATAGACTAGACTATAGACTAGACTATAGACTGGACTATAGACTAGACTATAGACTAGACTATAGACTAGACTATAGACTAGACTATAGACTAGACTATAGACTAGACTATAGACTAGACTATAGACTAGACTATAGACTAGACTATAGACTAGACTATAGACTAGACTATAGACTAGACTATAGACTAGACTATAGACTAGACTATAGACTAGACTATAGACTAGACTATAGACTAGACTATAGACTAGACTATAGACTAGACTATAGACTATACTATAGACTATACTATAGACTATACTATAGACTATACTATAGATTAGACTATAGACTAGACTATAGACTAGATTATAGACTAGACTATTGATTAGACTATAGAAGACTAGACTATAGACTAGACTATAGAAGACTAGACTATAGACTAGACTATAGACAAAACTATAGAGTAGTCAAGTTTATAGTTTAGTCTAAAGGTTAGTCTAGTCTATAGTCTATTTTATAGTCTATATTCTAGTCTATAATGTAGTCTAATGTCTAGTATTTAGTCTAGTCTATAGTCTAGTCATTAGTCGAGTCTATATCCTAGTCTATAGTCATACCTATAGTCTAATCTTTAGCCTAATCTATAGTCTAAAGTCTAGTTTATAGTGTAGTCTACATACTAATCTATAGTCAAGTCTATAGTTTTGTCTATAGTCTAGTCTATAGTAATCAAGATTATAGTTTAGTCTATAGGTTAATCTGTAGGTTAATCTATAGGTTAGTCTATAGTCTATAGTCTAGTCTAAATTCTATTGTATTCTAGTTTATTCTATAGTCTAGTATATTGTCTAGTCTTTAGTATAGTATTTAGTCTAGTCTTTAGTCTAGTCCTTAGTATAGACAATAGTCTAGTCTTTAGTGTAGTCTACAATCTAGTCTATAGTCTAATCTATATTCTAGTCTAGTCTTTAGCCATGTCTATAGTCAAGTCTATAGTTTAGTCTATAGTATCCGGGTTTACATTTTTAAAATTTTGTTGGCCTGAATTTCACTCCCAACAAACTGGCTTATTAAACCTATTTTTACTTATTTCAAAAAATAAAAACTTTTTTTAAACTAATTATATAAAAAAACATATTTTTTAGAAAAAACCTTTAATTAATAACAAAATTACATATTTACATATATGCTATATGTATAATAAACTTAATTTAAGAAACTATTACTCTATATATTGTAAAAATAAGGAAAATTAATAAGTAAAATAAATAAATAAAATATTTATATCACAAAAACAAGGAAAATGGTGCAGCTTTAACAAATTAATTATAGTTGAATGAAAAAAACATATATTTATTGTAAATAATAGTCAAATATAGTTGAAAAAAAAAAAACAATTAAAAATTAAGCCTATATTCAAATATAATAACAGAAGCTTGTAAGTTTATAAACATTATGATTTTCAATTTAGAATATTGAATTACAAAAGAAACCATTCTCCAACATATGTGTCATTCCAAATGTTTAAACAAAACATTAAATTTTTGTATAAATTTTGGGGCGTAACTATCTCATTCGAAACGAATAAAATGATGGCATTCGATATCGTATGAGAAAGCTAATACTTTTTAGTTTAATTATGATATCTTAAAGTATTTTCGATACGAAAGCTGTGACTTATGCGGTAATTCGACCCCTGTTTTTAATTTCGAAAATGAGTGGTATATATACATTAAAAACCACTAATTCAAATAATTATTAGTGATTTGTAATTACTAGTTCTTATTAATCTATTCTTTTTCAAAACCTTCACTAAAAAATGGATTAAGTGAATTAACAAAACGGACTTTGACCACAAAATTGGAACCATTCATTAAAAAAACAATTTTCTTCCGTATTCACAAAATATACAAAAAATATACTTTATACTTTTAAATTTATACTTTTCAGTTCTAAATAAAAACAAAAGATTATTAATTATCTAAACAAATTGTAAAATTTATATATTTCATGATCTTAATAAACACATGATCATGAAGTAGTAAAAACCACAGTAGGAGTTAACACTAATTATAATTAAACACATAAGTAAACTAAAAGAAATTTAAATATTTAACACAAAAAAAAAACTAGCAAAAATAATAATAATTAATAAATTAATAAAATTTAGAAACAATTGTAGTTTAGTAAATCAGCTAAAACAAGGAGTAACACTCACTTGTCATTATAGTCAAAAACAAATTAAAATCCATATATTTAAAATTATTATAAGAACGTAGTTAATTAATTTAAATAACAAATTAATCTTAGACAAAATTAGCCATATCTTAAGTTATATACAAAAGTTTCTATAATATAGTAAAACATATTAAAGCCTGTACTAATAATAGATTAACAAAGTTATTAAAGGTTTATTGCAGCAATTTTGTAGGAAAAACTAGCTTAATAAACCCTTAATAACTTTATGAATACAGAAGCGAAATGTATGTACTATATTATGTCAGTCAATCCCATATATTATATTAAACATTAAAATAATATCAAAATAAGCACTCGGTAGTAATATTAAATAATGTCTTATTATATGCATATAAATATATAAAAAAATGTAAATAATATAAAAATATTTTAAAAAAACTAATTAAAAGAAAAGAATAAATAAATAAACATATGAATTTCTGTGGAATTAATGAAGACTTTTATTTTATAATTATGCTTCTTCTAGCTATAGACTAAAAACTAAACTATAGATTAGACTTGACAATAGACTAGATTATAGCCTACGTACTAGACAATAGACTAAATATAGGCTAGACTATTGAATATAATATAGAGAAGTCTATAGACTAGACTATAGAATAGATTTCTCACTAGACTATAGACTACAACCCAGACAATAGACTAGACTATGGAGTAGACTATAAACTAGACTATAGACTAGTCTATAGATTAGACTATTTGATAGACTATAGACTACAATAGACTATAGACTATAGAATATAGGCTAGACTATTGAATATAATATAGAGAAGTCTATAGACTAGACTATAGAATAGATTTCTCACTAGACTATAGACTACAACCCAGACAATAGACTAGACTATGGAGTAGACTATAAACTAGACTATAGACTAGTCTATAGATTAGACTATTTGATAGACTATAGACTACAATAGACTATAGACTAAACTATAGACAAAATTATAGAATAAAATATAGACTGGTATGTAGACTAGACAATAGACTGTAGACTGGACTATAGGCAAGACTATAGAATAGACTCCATACTAGACTATAGACTACAAACCAGAATATAGACTACACTATAGACTAATCTACAGACTAGACTATAGACTTGACTGTAGACTAGACTACACTATTGAGTAGATTAGACTATAGACTACATACTAGACTATAAACTTATCAATAGACTAGACAAGTCTATAGACTATACTATTGACTAGACTATAGACTACAAAACAGACAATAGACTACACTATAGACTAAACTACAGACTAGACTATAGACTTGACTATAGACTACACTATAGAGTATATTAGACTATAGACTACATACTAGACTATAGACTTATTAATAGACTTGATACAGACTAGGCAAGTCCATAGACTATACTATTGACTAGACTAAAGAACATACTATAGAATAGACTCTAGACTAGACTATAGAATGGACTGCGAAATTAATGGAGACTTTTATTTTATAACTATGTAAAGCACTTCTTCTAGCTATAGACTAAAAACTAAACTATAGATTAGACTTGACAATACCCTAGATTATAGACTACATACTAGACAATAGACTGGATATTGACTAGACTATTGAAAATAATATAATAGATTTCTCACTAGACTATAGACTACAACCCAGACAATAGACTAGACTATGGAGTAGACTATAAACTAGACAATAGACTAGTGATTAGACTATAGACTAGAATAGACTATAGACTAAACTATAGGCAAAATTATAGAATATACTATCGACTGGTATGTAGACTACACAGTAGACTGTAGACTGGACTATAGGCAAGGCTATAGAATAGACTCCATACTAGACTAATCTACAGACTAGACTATAGACTAGACTATACTATAGAGTAGATTAGACTATAGACTACATACTAGACTATAAACTATAGACTACACTATAGACTACATACAAGACTATAGACTTATCAATAGACATGATACAGACTAGACAAGTCTAGAGACTATACTATTGACTAGACTCTAGACAAGACTATAGACTGGACTATAGAATGGACTGTGGAATTATTGAAGACTTTTATTTTATAACTTCTTCTGACTATAGTCTAAAAACTAAACTATAGATTAGACTTGACAATAGACTAGATTATAGACTACATTATAGTCTACATACTAGACTATAGACTAGAAATAGAATAGACTATTGAATATAATATAGAAAAGTCTTTAGACTACACTATAGAATAGACTTCTCACTAGACTATAGACTACAACCCAGACAATAAACTAGACTTTAGAGTAGACTATAAACTAGACTATGGACTAGTCTATAGATTAAACTATAAACTAGACTATAGACTAGATTATAGAGTAGACTATAGACAAAATTATAGAATAGACTATAGACTAGTCTGTAGACTAGTCTGGACTATAGGCAAGACTATAAAATAGACTCCATACTACACTATGTACTACAAACCAGACAATTGACAACACTGTAGACTAGAATATACTATAGAGTAGATTAGACTATACACTACATACTAGACTATACTATTGACTAGACTATAAAATAGACTATAGACTACAAAGCAGACAATAGACTACACTATAGACTAAACTGCAGACTAGACTATAGACTTGACTATAGACTAGACTATTGAATATAATATAGAGAAGTCTCACTAGACTATTGACTACAACCCTGACAATAGATTAGACTATGGATTAGACTATAAACTAGACTATAGACAAGTCTATAGATTAGACTAGAATAGGCTATAGACAATATTTTATAATAGACTACAGACTGGTCTGTAGACTGGACAAGACTGTGGAGTCCATTTCCACACTAGTCTATAGACTACAAACCAGACATTAGACTTGATATAGAGACTATAGACTAAATTATGTATATACATACATATAAAACTATAGAATAGACTGGACTATAGTTAGACTGTGCCTGGGCTTGTCAATGAGCTTCCACTAGAACACTTTAGATACAAACTAAATAAATTCTTCCATAAAGTAATTTATAGGTCGGTATACAGACTAGTCTGTGTATTAATACACTAATACATTATACATATAGACTACTCAATAGATTAGTAGATTAGACCATAAACGAGACAATGTATTAGTACATAAACTTGTTAATAGACATGTTAGTAGTCTGGTCCATAGACTAGACTAGTAAATATAAAAATATTTTCAAATCTTTTTTCCATCTTAATTAAAACAAAACAATTTCTCTGATATATGTACATATCTATATAGAAACGTTACATTTTATTTCTCAGCTATTTTATCTTGATAGTGTAAACCATATCTATTATCCAAATTTAATTGCAAATAAGGACCCATAACACTTATAAAAGTTAAAACACGATTAGAACTCTTTGGAGTAGCTGCCAAAATCTCTGAAGTACGACAAGGATGTAAACATATAAAAGGTCTAAAATATATAGGATGATCCATTTGCGTTAAAATGGACAGCATATCTTCACGGGAGTATTTGGATTCTTGATTATGTTGAAATATCGTCCACAGGTGTTCCAAAGACAAAGGTTTACCATCTTGAAAGATATGTAAATAAGAATATGTTTGTTAAAAAAACAATTTTCCCTACCATTCGCATACGCTTGCAAATACAATACGGGCACTTGATAGGATATCGAATAGACTATATGATATTCGATTTGTATTAATTCCTGGTTTAAGGGATGTGTAAGTTTTTTAATATATTTAAGAAAAGATTGACCTTCAACTTCTGCATTCTGAAATAAAAAATCAAAGTAATAAAATAAAATAACAAATATATCCCACATTATTTAAACGCGTACCTTAACTTCCCAGCACCAAGTATCATCCAATTGCTTTGAAATCTCCAAAAACTCTAAGGATTCCTTCAAAAATTCCTCCCAAGTTAAAGTATCAATAGGTGACATTGTTTATATTGTTTTTATATTATTTATTTTATATTTTTAAATTAAACTTTAATTACAATTTCCTACAAAAAAGAAAACTATTAAAAATTACTCACTAATTGATAATTGATTTTTTCAATTGAGAGTTTTTTTTCTTTATACCAAAGATCTTTTAGTCGCCTTGTACGACAAGCAGATCATACTGTGAGCATATTCTTTTATTATCTAATCCCTGCTCACGGGGACTGCAATGAATTGTACCAAACAAATTGTTCTTTTTTAATCAATATTTTATTTTTAGCATATTTTGTTTAAAAAAC